GATTGCATCTGGGTCGTCCGATCGCACGCTTGATCTGGACCGTCCGATTGCGCATATGCGGATCGCCAACGTGGCCCGTCCCGGATCGACGTGGTCTTGCCACGTGGCAGGTCCCGGTTGGCCGGGACTGCTGACTGGGTCTGCTGACGTGGCTGTTGACGTGACTTTTTTTTTTCTTTCTTCTTCAATTTCCCCGGGCGCTACAAGTACCATTATTAGATAATCTGAAGCTCTTGGTGAATTTATTTGTTTTTTTTATTTATATGACTTTGATGCAACGTTAACTCATGTAATTTGTATCTTTTTCATATTCTTAAAGATTGTATAATATTTAGAAGAATTATACCATAAGTATATATATTCATATAAATTCTTATAATTGATTGATATGAGAGTATTCCCTTATCATAGTTAAATATCAAAAACATTTGCATAGTTATAATCCTCCGTTTGTGTGTGTGTGTGTGTGTATATATATACTGAGCTTAGAATGTGAAATGTATGCATTTTAAAAAAAAATTATATTTAGCTTTCATTAAAGATAATATTTATAATATTAAATATATCAATAACTCATTAAATATATGTTAATAAAACTATTAGATAAACAAAAATATTTAAAATAAAAATAAAAGACCTCCTAAACGAATGTTAATATCATCTTCCATAAAACACCCAAATGTTCATCTTTCTTTCTTCTTCATCTATCTCCCTTATGTTTCTTCTTCATCTCATTTGAGTCAACCATCACAAGACCATGTTACATGGTTTAGGTGAAAAACCCAAAAACTCCATCTATTTGTTATAATTTTTCGGCAAAGGGAAAAAAAAAAAACCCTAATAAGCCTCTCATTTCCTCGATATTTTAACAAAACAACTCAGATGAGAAAGTTTTAAACGATTATGTTTATTATGATAATTTTCTCCGTATTGAGTTAAAGTATGTTGTAGTCTCAACTTTTAGTGATATTATTATGTCGATTCCTTTAAGTTTTAGTCTTGCGACCATATTCCTCTCGAGACTCAAAGACTTTAATTTCTCTACTCGACTTTAGTTTCTCGAGAGTTTAATGTAAAGGAGAAAGGAGATTTTGGAGAGATTAATAGAAACCAATTTTTTTTTTTAGGATTATAATTAATTTGATGGGGTAGTTCATATCTGAATCTGACTATTCTAGGGAACTTAATTATATATAGTCCACACAATTTTCTCATGTATTGTAAAAAATTGTGGTAGGTAAGCATCTTCATCAGTTAACCAGAAATGGCAGATGCAGAGCAGAGCAAAAGTGTTGCTGGCATGTTTTCCTTTTTTATATTTTTTAATGTATTAATTTGTTTTTTCCTCTAAAGGTGTCAATTTCTATAGGAAAAAAATATATATATATATATATAATATGCTTCACAATTTAATTAATTATCCCTAAAATTAAAGAAAAAATTATTAGTAAAGATTTATATATTTTAATTAGTAAATAGCAAAATAATAACATAATACATTATGAGAATCTAAAAATAATTAATACCCAAATTTCATAGAGAGTACATACTTTAAAATTTGTAATAAAATAAATGATATGTATTATATATTATTAATTTTTTAATAAAAATTTACACATTTTATTAATGATTATTATGTAATAGATTATAAATTTTATATAATTTAATTGGAATTAATAAATTTTTGTACAAGAAAAGGGTGGTTATCAACCACTTAAATAATAAATAATAGAAATTATTTTATTGAATAATTAATATTTTATTATTTTTATAAATTTTTATAAAATATTATATATTTAAGTGGAAATGTATTTTGATGTGTTTTTATTTAAAATTTATGATGTAATTATTTTACATGAATCACTTGTACGGATTAATTTCTAATAAAAAAAAACAAAACTGATTGGACTTCTTGTTTTTAATAATGAAACGAACCAGACGAACATCAACCACAAGAGCTTAGCTAGCTAGAAGATAGAGGAAGAGGAAGAAGAAGAAGAAGAAGAAGAAGAAGAAGCAAGAGAAGAAGAAGACATGGGTGTTATAAGATCAGCCATCGGCGATTCAGTCTTGACATCCATGTGGGTTTTTAACTTGCCGGTGATCGGACTTCTCGCCGGCCGAGCATCCGACTTTCTCCGAACCCATTACATCTCCCTTCCATTTACAGGTCTTTTCATAACCATACTCTTAGCCACTATTAACGTCTTGCTCTTCACCTTACTCGGCACTCTTCTTGGCGGCGCCAGCTTCAACCCATCCACCACCGTCTCCTTCCACGCCGCCGGTCTCACCAAACCGGGTTCTTCTCTCATCTCCATGGCCGTCCGTCTACCAGCACAAGCCGCCGGAGGAGCAATCGGCGCAATGGGAATCTGGCAAGTGATGCCAGTAGGATGGCTCAAGGGTGGTCCTTCTTTGAAAGTGGATTGGCATACAGGAGCTTTAGCTGAAGGGTTACTAGCTTTCGCTCATTGTCTGAGTGTGCTTGTTGTTGTGGTGAGAGGTCCGAGGAGCGTTTTTGTGAAGGTTTTGTTGCTGGCTATGGTGACTACTGGTTTGGTTCGGGTCGGGTCGGGGTATACAGGACCGTCGTTGAATCCGGCGAATGCTTTTGGTTGGGCGTATGTGAAGAACTGGCATAATAGTTTGGAGTTGTATTATGTTTATTGGGTAGGACCTTTGGTTGGAGCAACAATGGCGGCTTGGGTTTTCAGGGTTCTGTTTGCTCCTTCCCTGGTGAAGAAGAAGAAGAAGAAGAAGAAGAGGGAGTAATTATAATTGCAGAGGGTTTTATTTTTAATTAATTATTGATTAATGTAATGACATATTCTAAAAAAACTAAGCAGGATTAGTTGCAAAAAAAAGTAATTTAATTAGTCGGTATTTAATGAGTATTTTTATTATTTACTTTTATGTTTATTATAAGTAGTTTTAAATATTTTATGAGTAAAATTATTAAATTAATTTTGGAATTTTTATATTTGTTATAATTTAATTTTTAATTTTTTTAAACATTTAGTTTTTTTATAAAAAAAAATTAAATAATTAAAATATTTTAGAAAATAATTTAAAAAATCTAAATTAATTAAACTAAAAAACTAATAATATTATTATTAATTTATTAATCAATTAATTTAATTAATTAATCAAATTCATTGTTTTTAATTCCAAATAATCATTACTAAGATTACAAAAAATATCAATTAATTGAATTAATTAAATCATGATATTAATTTAACTTTTTAGATTAGATGGAAGTAAAACCCATTACCCATGAGTATTAAACAATTAAAAAAGAAACTTTTGAATACACTATTTTACTTACCACTAATCATGGTTGTATTAGTTAATTAAATTATATTAATAATTAATTTGTTTATTTTAATTAAAAAGTAATTAATACTATATTTATTAAGAACACTTATCACAATCTAATTTTCAAATGTGTTTCCAACGAATAAATTCATCAAAATCTAATTTCTAAATGTGTTTTGAATGAATAAATTCTAAAACATTTTAAAATTCATCTATAAACCTTACTATTCTTTTCCTTATGTAGTTGTATATATTGAAATAAATTTTGGTCATCTTGTTTTAAATAATCATGTCATAAAGTTATATATATGTGTGCATATGCGTGTGTGTGTATATATATATATATATATACATGCATGTTAGATGGGTTAATTCTTCAATTCTTTTGAATGGTTGGTTGAGAATCCTAGAATCAATTGGTGATATTATAGGAATCTTAGAATATGACAAGCAAATCCATACAAGAACAAAAATCATTGTGTTAAAAATAAATATATATACATATAAATTCATCAAAATCTAATTTCTAAATGTGTTTTGAAATGAATAAATTCTAAAACATTTTAAAATTCATCTCCAAAACTTACTATTCTTTTCCTTATGTAGTTGTATATATTGAAATAAATTTTGGTCATCTTGTTTTAAATAATCATGTCATAAAGTTGTATATATGTGTGCATATGTATGTATATATATATATATACATATACATGCATGTTAGATGGGTTAATTCTTCAATTCTTTTGAATGGTTGGTTGAGAATCCTAGAATCAATTGGTGAAATTATAGGAATCTTAGAATATGACAAGCAAATCCATACAAGAACAAAAATCATTGTGTTAAAAATAAATTATGTGAGATGTTGATTTTAAGCATGGGAAAAACATGTAGGTCATTTGAAAAGGATGTACACCAAAAAGAAAATGAGAGAATATATATATATACACACACACATATTTTGCACAAACCCTAGAAAGTTACCATTAATTAAAGTATAGAAGAGCCAGTGACTACAAAAGATAGATTTTACAGAAGTAACAAGATTAGAGTTCACT